ATAGATCAGACATAACAATTTTAACATTTTAGCAGCCAAATATGCCCGCTAACCACTGACGGTTTAAGGGATAATATTAGCTTGTATTAGGCTTGTATTAGTTCTTCGTAGGTCCGATCCAAGGTCCGAATCTGAATTGTCAGATCGAATTCCGTAAGCTCTTTTTTGGACTGTAAATGGCCATATAGACGACTTGGGTATGTTGCATTCCACCAGTTAAAAAACTTGAATTATATGCTGGGGGTATATTGTTTAGAGGATTATGGTACGATTCTCTGAAAGTTATTTACCCCACTTACCCGACATCACAAGGGTGACAAATGGCTAAAAAATATATACCTGCAGCTAGTGCTTGTAGTCAATCCAAATTTATCAACTAGACTAAGTTGATATTTAAAAATTAGCTTAGCCAGCTAAGTTGTAGTCGACCATCCTAATTGGTTAATTAAAGCACGTGATTTAAAAATAGATATGATTGGTCAATTATTCATTAAATCTGATACATACATACATACTAGTTTGTAATATTATCGACTTAATTAAAAACTCAGCTTTGCCAGCTAAGTTGAAGTTAATCATCTTTATCTTAAACTTTTGAAAAATTATCAAATTGTTTCTTGTATTTTATGTTTATTGAATTTCTTTGAGAGAGATAATATAAACTACCAAATCAGCCTAAATTTGATTCATTACTGTAATTTTCAATATAGTTTAACATGAAATCTACAAAGTCAATTTTTTGAAAAATCAGCTAACTAAGCTGGCTAAGCTGATAAAATTGACTAATGCAAAATTGACTATAAACACTACCTGCAGCTAATTAAATGTTAACCTTAACTCTATGTGATTAAATAGCTTTTAGAAAATTGAGCAACAACTATTTGGAGGGAGGTGGAAGTATAGTAATAGGTAGATTTCTTCTTGTTAGATATAAATTACTAATCAAAAAATCTTAGATCCTTCAAATTCTACTAATTTCTTAACCTTGATTTAGACCCAGTGTTACTATTAGGTTTTGAGAGAGTATCAGTAATTGGAGCTGAGGTTAGATCAGCAATAGTGAATGACAGATGTGTTAATTAGGAAATAAGGTTTCTTTATATAGAGTTGGGATAGATATGTTGTGCCTCAGATGCTTTCTTGCATTGGATCTAATCCAACACGCATCAGATGCTGATTTTCAGGTAACGTATATTATCTGAAAATCGGTCACCTGATGTGTGTTGGATTGCATCTAATACATGTAAGTTACGATCTGACACAAAATATAATCACATGATAAACTAAACAAATAATGTATCCAAATTTAATACTGCAAAATATTGATTTAATATGCATTTATTTATTTAATTATTTAGTACATGCAGAAAATAAAAAAATAATAATATTTTTATTATTAATAGATTAGTCCTTATTTAAACATAACCTTCCACTATGACAATGGCTTGTACATTTTGTATATATCTTTTTACACTTGCATTTCTTGCTATCACATGAACCCTTGCAATTACAGATAGAATCTGACATAATTTCTACACTTTGAAGTCTTTCAGCCTCACGAATTGTTACTTGATTTGATGAAATTTCATCAAGTTCAGGACAAGCAGTTGTTTCAAGCATTTCAAGTTGACCAGAAGAGTAACATATGCTAATTATACTATACTTACACCTAAGATTTTCACCGGTTTTCTCCAAAACCTTATAGGGGAGGGTTGGACGGTTGATACTATATCAATTAATCTTTGGAATGCTCACCCTTACCAAATCACCAACTTGAATATCAACAAGCTTTCTTTTTTTCAACATTTGCTGTGTCATTTTCTCAGTATATTGCTGAAGGTTCTGACATGTAATATCTTGTAGAATGTCATGCCAATTAGAATTTGAATGATTATTAGTAATGTTTCCAAGAACTAAAAATTTAATTTATTTGAAAAATTAGAATTGTATCCTGATCAATATCAATTAGATAAACTTTAAAATTTACCATGCTATTAAATAGAGACTCTTGATTAACACAGTTCTCAAATGAAGGTTTTAGAGAACCAACACTAGTATTGGGCAAAGGCACTAAAAAAACAGCTTAACTATCAGACGAAGATACTGAATAATCAACTTGATTACCAGGCGAAGATATTTGACTACCAGCTTAATTACCAGGCAAAGATGCTTGATCACAACCTTGATTACTGGGTGAATGCACTTGTTCACAACTTTGATTACTGGGCGAAGAAGAACTAGGTGGAGAAAGTGAAGTCGTTGAACTATTACAACCTTGATTATAAAAAATAAAAAAATTAACACAGTTGCAATATAAAAGTATGACTAGTTAAAATACAATTAAAAAAAAAAACCAGGTGAAAATACTTGACTACTACCTTGAATACTAGGCAAGAACACTTGGCCACAACCTTGATTGCTGAATGAAAACACTTGACTACAATTTTGATTACCAGGCGAAGAAAACGAAGTCACTGAACTAACACAAACTTAATTACAAAAATATAAAAAAAATTAATACAGTTGTAGCATAAAAAGTAAAAAAGAACCAGGTGAAAATATATAACTACAATGTTGATTACCAGAAGAAAGTGTTTGACCACAATCTTGATTACTGGGTGAAAGCATTTGACCACAACCTTGATTACCGGGCAAAAGCACTTGACCACAACCTTGATTACCAGGTAAAAGCATTTGACCACAACCTTGATTACCGGGTGAAAGCATTTGACCATAACCTTTATTACCAGACAAAAGCAGTTGACCACAACCTTGATTACTAGGTGAAAACATTTGAGCACAACCTTGATTATTGGGCGAAAGCACTTTTTGACCACAACTTTGATTACCAGATGAAGAGAGTGATATTACTGAACTAGCACAACCTTAGTTACAAAAAGAAAAAAAATTAATATAGTTGTGGTATAAAAAATATGGCTAGGTTGTTAAGATACAATTTAAAAAAAAAACTGGATAAAATATTTGACTACAACATTGATTACCAGAAGAAAGTGTTTGACCGCAATTTTGATTACCGGGCGAAAGTATTTGACCACAATCATAATTACTAGGTGAAAGCACTTGACCACAACATTTATTACTGAACGAAGAAAGCAAAGACACTGAACTATCACAACCTTGATTGCAAAATTATATAAAAAAAAATTAATACAGTTGCAGTATAAAAAGTATAGCTAGTTTGTTAAAACACAATTAAAAGAAAAGAACCGGGTGAAAATACTTGACCACAACTTTGATTATTTAACGAAAGTACTTGAGCACAACTTTGATTACCAGGCAAAGAAGGACTAGGTGAAAATGGGCCAGACAAAGATAGACCAGACAAAGAAGGACCAGAAGAAGATAGATAGAATGAAGATGGACCAGGTGAAGATAGACCAGGCGAAGATGGACTGGGCGAAGATGGACCAGGTGAAGATGGACCAGGCGAAAATACCAAACCGGGAGAAGACACTAAAGTAGGCGAAGACACTAAACATCCAAAATGATTAGGTAATATTTCCTGATCATCATTATTATCAGGTAAAACATCTAAAAAAAAAAAAGGTAAGAATTTAAATAAATCAATTTATAGTATATTATTCTTATTTTATTTTATTTTATTTTTATTACCAGTCATATCATCATCCAAATCAATTTCATTATTTGGGATCTCTACTGTATTTGGTACATCCTCTTTGTCAAAGATATTATTACCATATAGTTCATCGACCAGAGTACAGTTACTACGGGGTTTGTCTCCGTAAACTAGTTCATAGGGTGTTTTTTGTGTGATCTACACCACGAATTATTCATAGCCACTACAACAAACCTCAAGCCAAATGATCAGTCATCTTGATCAGTGGTTTCTCTCCATTTTCCCAGCTTTTGTTCCAAAATGCCATTAGCCCATTCAACAAGGCCTTGCGATTGGAGATGCTTGGGACATCCATTGATTATTTTTACAGAAGACCAAAGTTCAACCAATTCTTTGATAACTTGCGCAACAAACTCCTTTATGTTGTCCGATTGCAGAATGGTGGGTGGTGATCCAATAAAGTGAAAAAGATCAAAAAGATACGATGCAACTTCAATTGGTCTCTTAGATGTGAGCACCCTTGCCCATGAGAACCTACTAAAATGATCTCTTAAATGACACACGTATTTGAACTCGCCATCTGGATATAGGATAAATCAATTAGATCTATCTACAAAATAAAAAATACAATTAGAAAATTTTCATTTTGATTACAAGAATAAAATAAAACATACCTGCATACGTGATAAAAAATTCTTGGCAATTATTGGCTTTGCCGCTAAAGGGTGGAATGCCGGTTTTCTTGCAGCACATGCTGTGCAATTGTTAACAAACTGTTCAATAACTTCTTGCTTTACATATCCCCATTTTTTACAGATCGACTTCCAAGTCTGTTTTTGGCCACTATGCTGTGTTACTTTACCATGAGTATGACAAAGAACTTCATAAAACCTTTCAGTTATCAACACAGGATTGTTTGTAGCTTTCATGATTACTCTGTAATCTCTAAATAAAATTTTCTCAAGCTTAAATTTCTTTTTAGCCCAACCATGCATATTCTTGTCATATAGCAAAGTGTCTTTAGGATTTAATAAAATCGGTTTGATTTTATTTAAAAGTTCATTATTGATTAGGGCCTTTGCTTGTTTTGCTTTTGGAAGATTATTAATATATCTTTCAAGAATTCGATCAAGAGTACTTCTGCTAATGAATGTGTATTCCATTATATAGATTAAAAAAAAAAAAAAAAAAAAATTGTAGAAAAAAAAAAAAAAAATTGACACTGAATAAAGCAATGCCAAATAGAGATCAAAAATAAGCAACATCAGATACAAAACAATGTTAAGAACAAAAAATAAGTGGCACCAATATGAAGGCAGAGTTGAATCAAGAAGAATATATAGAGCCAAATATAAAAATAGCATTGAGATCAAAGAAAAATATGGAGCACCAAATATGTAAATCAAAGAAAAATATGTGGCACCAATACGAAAGACATGCTGAGATCAAAAAAAGTATTTGGCACCAAGTATGGAAAGACAGCATTGCGATTGAAAAACAATATGTAGCACCAAATATGGAAAGATCAAAAAAAAAAAAGTGGCACCAAATATGAAGAGACGATGCTAAAATTAAAGAAAAATATGCAACGGTGTTGAGATCAAGTAAAGATATACGGTAACAAATATGAACAGAAAGAAAAAAGGTGGTACCAAGTATGGAGAGACAGCGTTAAGCCCCAATTAATTAAGGCAATGTCGATATAAAGGCACCCAAGAAGTAAACCAAGGTCAAATGCGGAACACCAAGATCGAATGCGGAGGCATTAAGGTTGAATGTGAAGAGATGTAAAGTCAATGTTGACTCAAAAAAATACTAGTAAAATATGGCTGGCGTAAAATGTAAAACGACTAAGAAAGAGAAAGGCAAAAATAAAGCCAAAAGGCTTCATATACCTTTATTCATAATGACATTATTGCATTTTTCATTGAAAAAACTTTTACTGATTCTAAAGCTGATTGATGATCTTGCGTCAGATTATATCTTACGCACCTCATATAACCGTTTTTTAGGTGACGTGCGTTACCTGAAAATCAGCATTTGAGGTGTGTTGGATTGCATCTGATGCAAGAAAGCATCTGAAATGCAACAGATATATACTAATTAAGAGTGGTTATAGGGTTATTATATATACACAATATATGATAATCAAAGAATATTATAATAAATTTAAATATGGCACACAGTATAGTTCAGTTTATTCTAATGAATCTAATAATAATGTGAGATACTGTTTAAGTAGTTTTAACAATAAGTACAAGTATGGGTTACATATAAATAATGATAGAATAAGTAATTTAATAGGACTGTGAAGATGTATTCATGATTAAACAATTAAAGATAATGCTATAAAGATGTATTCACAATAAGATAATAGTATAATAATGCAATAATAGTGTGAATTTGATAATGTATAAGTACAGGTTTTTAAGTATATAAGAGATCAAAGTTTAGAATAATTTTATTAAGGTCAATAATTGAGTTTTTAAATACAAAATTTGTATATATAAATTAATAAACTATTCAATTGTTAGGCTATTTTCTCCTCTATTATTTGCCTTACACTTTTCATAAAACTCTTCTATCTATCTTTTTCTACAAATATTACTTTGTTTTTCCACTTATTATACAGCATTTTGATAATAAGTAAATGCATTCTGTTCTTAAAGATTATTGAGAATTTTAGGTAACTATTTCTCTGCTTTCAAGTTTGGTAATTTATTTAATACTAAGGCATTTATAGGAACCAATAAACTAATGATAGAACTTTACTTAAAAAAAGACTCAACTTTATTAACAATTTTAATATTGAACAATTTTATGTCAATAAGCAATATATAAATGACTAAATATAGTAATAAAGATAAAATATATATATAAAGTACAAGATAAGTAGTAATTGGACCTGTTTAAAAAAAATGCTAACCAGGTTAATTACAGGTAGGTTATTTAGATCACTTGGGTGGTAAAAATTTTTATTATAGGTTATCTATAGGTAGGTTATTCAAATTACTCTGATAGAGGGTGTGGCGACTTAGTGAAGTGGTCAAGTTGTCGCATCCCCAAGTAGCAGGACAAGAGTTCGAATCCCACTGGCGACGAAATTTGAATTTTACAGAATGTGTTACGGCAGACTGTGTATAAACTGATGGATTATCGGATCTGTAAACTTGGTTGTACCAGGGGTTATTGGGAAGCTGTGGAACTATAGTGTGATGCATGAGTTACACAAAACCCGAGTGAAACAGCTGTGTAAATCCAGGTATTGGGGCACACGGAAGCCCACTTGGCAAGTCCTGAGTAGAAAGGTAGGACAGATCTTCGACGATACTATGTAAAAGGCTATCTAAGGGATCCGAACACCGATTTCAGCAATTTGGACAAGGACCGGTGTTTGGCAAGACACTATACCAACCAGGCCGCCGGCTGAGTAACCAGAGAAAAAGAACCCAACCGTGGGGACCAGGGGCAGGTCACAGCCCTTCCGGGCTATCTGGATTGGGAGTTTAGGTTGCTAACGGAACTTAGGTACTAGTGATAGTCTGTAAAGTGTGTACTGGGGTTTGTGTGAACTTTGCAAGGGCAAGGAGTAGGTAACGGTAGCAGAGAAA